CCCCAAAACCCCAAAACCCCAAAACCCCAAATAGCTCACCGACAATTGATTATAAACTTTATTAAAATGGAGCTGGTGAAAGAATGTAAGAACATACAAAGAAAGCAAGATAGGTGGATCAATTTGATCAATTCGGACAGCAAACATAAAATATGTAATCTTTCCACCACACACATAAGAAAATAGAATCAATTTAGATTTGCTAGTTTAGAACTATTGTCCTGAGATAGTTTAAAGACTTCCAAGATATTTTACGTAAACTATTAAATACAGTTGAGCTATATTTTTAAAGCTGGCAATACTAATGCATGAATTAAAAGAGGTGAGGCCAGGAAAGTCACCAAAGAAAAAGAATAGAACAGCATCATTTAAGACTCTTTGTGAGTTTGTTTCAGTCTATCATCGTTTACTAGTATGCTGACCTAGTTTATGTAATACAATTGACTAGAATCTGGCATAAATTTTGCTAGACTTAGAGAGATTTATAAAGAATCTGAAATGTTATTGTTTGCATTATACTTCTTCGTCGACTTTATTGTCTTCCCTTTTTGAATTTATTCACAAAAGCCACCATCGTTTTAAGAATTGCCCAAATTTACATATCTCTTAATTTATCTTTTTATTTTTATGCCATTTCTAGATAATTTTATAGTCCCTCTATAAATCAATTCAAAACTTGTGTGCTCTCTTCTTTATACAACAAAGCTTCAAATGATGTAAAATGCTAGAACTCCTAATCCTCATCCAAATACTACCACTTAATCTTTTCTACATTAGCATTAGATGCACAAATCTTCTTTGTAGATAACTAATCGTGCCAAATAAGTTCGAATAAGTTAGAAATTTAAGGTTCTAGAGGGAGGTAAAGAAGGCAAGTCTTCAAAGATAATAACCTCGTATAAAATCGAAATCAGACTTTGAAAGATTTAGGCTTAGATGATCAATGAGCGTATTAGTTCCTACAGTTTAAATTTTGGGGTTTTAGAGAAGTCTTAATGTATACTAGATTGAGAACCGATTTTACATAAAGACGCTCCCATGTAATAAATTTTAAAATTTACGAAGAGTTAATAAATGGCAAAAGATAGTTATTCTCATCCAAATCTTTTATTTCATAATTAGAATAAGTTTTATTTTCTCGTATCTTGACCTTTTCTTGAAGGAATAAGAAAAACTAGTACAAATTATTATAAAAATTAGGTATAATAAGATCGAAACTTAGTAAGTTTGAAGTGTTTAACAATTAGTTTATGAAGTTACTCATAGTTAATAACTCGATTTAAAAATTATTAGAAAATTTATAACCGTAAAAGAGAGTACCCATTGTCATATTCTAGAGAGAACACTTTGAAAATAATTTAGTTTCATTGGTTAATCCGGCCCAGATAAAATACTTAATTAAAAGATAAATTTGAATATTAAGATAAGAATTTGTAACAGTAATTTAAGATAAATGAGCTAGTTCAGTTCAAATCTAGTGTTTTAGAAGAAATTTATTGAGAACTCAGGATATAATAGAAAGGAAAATTTTAAAACTTAGAAATTATAGAGCTATGTCAGATTAAAATATCAGGTTAAAAATTGATAGATGGGAAAAGGCAAAAAGGAATGTCATTGAAAACTATATCTTAATATTAAGATATATTTTCCCTTAAAACTAGATTTCTTTACTATATATGTTATTTTTTATTTATTTTGAAACAGCCTTAACAATAGAGTTAAGTCTTGATGAGTAATCTTAAAAACTTCAATAAAATGGAGCGTTCTGTACGGGGTTTTTAACCTATATTTTTCTCATAATTTTAGATCATTACCATTTTTATATTCAGGCTAGGTTTTCGGAAATGTATCTTTGCTAGGTTGACTAATTTGAATAATTGCTAATTTATCTGAATTTTCTAAACTTTTTATAGACAGACTAGCATATCAGAAGCCACCATGGAAGAAATCAGAGTGAGAAATATTCAAATATCGCATCTGATTTAGTGATGGAAGAAAAGATACGAAGACAAAAAGGCTTAGTGAAGTTTATCCCATTAAATATTTAAACAAGATAGCACGAATTATTTAATACAGAAAAGGTTAAAACGCAAAGCTCATTCAGGATGCCCTATCTATTATTGATCCTCTTCTTTCTTACATTTTGACTAAACCCAGCGAATAGTTTGCAAACCAAACATTTTACAAGAAATTTACAAAACAGAACGTTAAATACAGGTAAGATAAGAACCAAGTTCAGGGAAAATAAACTCATAATGCTCTCCATTTTTATCTTGCTTAAAGATGAATTTTAGTTAATATTTTATGCATAATCATTGCTCCTTGAAATCATTGGAATTCTATATCTAAACTGTATAGTGTGCCCTCCATCTTGACTTACCTGAGACTCATCAAACCTGTGAATCAGCTGTCCAGACTCGATGAGGCTTAATTCCACCAGCAACCAATGAGAGTTCTGCCCGGATGGCCAGTTTTATTTGAAAATTACTGACACCTGAATGAGTTGAGAATCGAGCTGACTGACTCTCTGAGCCTATAAACCCGAATGATATGAATGCCCAAATGAAGAGTATTATGACCTTGACAATTCTCAATGTGTAGCTTCTTGAGATCCAGTAACCCAAGTATCTATGAATAGCACTCAAACTGGGAACAAAGCTTATTGAAGAGGATTTAATTACTATGTGAATTCTAATAGCACAGATGTGGTGGAGTTAGGAACAAAAGAGTTTCCATATAAAAGTCTCAGTTCAGTGTTTATTGAACTTCTCAATTATTTAAGCCACAGAGATATTACTGTGAATATATATGTCCTTGAAACTACTGAGAACTACCTTGAACTAAATAAAAACTACATTATCAACATTACTCATGTAAACATCTTGACTTATTCAGTAACAAGGTCAGATCCAAGTCATGCTAATTTAATCCTAAAGGATTCTACCATTTCTACCATAAACCCTTCGACTAAATATTCCCTTCTGAAATCAGATACGCTGGAAATGTCAATAGCCACCTCTTCAAACCCCTTTGCTACAATATTTCCACTTAAAATTATCTTTGTTCACAATTCATCTTTGACAGTTCAAAATATGCATCTTGACTCAGAGTATTCCAGTATTTATATCGATTACCGATTTGTATTTCCTTCTCAATGAGGAAGTAAGTATCATTATGGCTAAAATATAGGAGGAAAATCAATCAGTTTTCAAGACATTTACTCGAGTATCTCTGGTTCTCTTTTATTCTCGATATCTCCTGTAGAAGTGAAAGCTAAAAATGTGGTATTTGACTCATACAGAGCAACCTCTTGTATTAATATATATGCTCCTTGAAATTTTCCTGGAGCAGACTTTTATGGCAAACTTATTATAGATAATTTTACATTATTCACCTCTCAAGCCAAGATAGTTCCTTTCTATGGAGCAGTCCTTGGTTTACTGGGATCAGGTGACATAAGTGTCAACCAATTGAACTCCTCTGTTTATCACGATGGACCTGGAAGTAACAGTATCTTATGGACACTCCCAGTTCCTGCATGTATTCCAGATACTACAGAAATACAGTACAGTAATATGTCAAATTCTTATTTTACAATGAATCAAAGCTCGGATAAAACAAGGTATTCTGTGTTAGCAATAATACCAGATGTGGATAGGCCCAAATACATAACGTCTAATATCTTCTTCTCTAATACTACTTTTGAGAATATAACCGATAATTTGTTTCCCTTAGCTTACGTTATATCGTATTATTCCACTGATGTAAATATAAACAACATTACAGTTAGAGGATGCTCAGCAAATGATCAAATGCTACGGCTTGCCGGGACACACATTTATATGAGCAATAACTTAGTGGTCAACTCTCAAATAAATAAACAAGCTGCAATATTAATTATAGGAAGTCTTATTGCTACCAATAACACTTTTAAAAATGTTACTTTTGGATCTGTTCAGAATTGGCAGATATTCAAAATCCACTCTTCTGAGTTTATTGATATAGACAACATTCAGTTTATTGATTGCAAGCCCAATACTAATTATGTCTTTTATATTGAGCAAGTTTCTCTTCCTTTTGTTATTAAAAATGTTCTCTTTAAAAATATTGAAAACACTGAAGGATACTCAATTATCTCCTCTTCAGAGCACGTTGGGGGAGTTTTCCAAAATGTGACGTTCCAAGATATTTATAAGCAAAGTCCTGATGGGACCACTAATGTTATGATGAAACTTGGAAACTTAAAGCTTGGTGATCAAAACAGATTGTCTTTGATAGATTTTACTATTTCAAACTCGACTGTTCCCTTTATTCTGTTTGATTCCATTACAAATACTGAAAGAAATAGTTCTTCAATTGATATTCAAAATCTAAAATACCATGACTGAGTTTTTGATTCGACTGAAAGTCTTATTTCTTTGAAAAGCCTGTTCTCATCTAGCGATTTCGAAATTAAATTTATCAACTCTCAGTTCTTCAACATTAAATTTGTCAGAGGAGGGAAAATATTTAATTTTGAGCACCAGATCTTTACGCAAGTAATCATACAAGACACTGTTTTTACTAATATCACTGCAGGGAGTATTTACTTGGAGTCACTTAACAAGAATAATGATGCAAAAACTTTGGTGTTGCTCTCCAACATCACTGTTCAAGAATGAACGATGAACGATAAATCATTCCTTGATGTTTCACAAGGAGGAAGACTCGAAGTTAGGGACTCTCTGTTCACCAACATGCACTCTTCTTATGAAGGACCCATCTTACACTCAGAGTTTGAAGGGACAGAAGTCAATATCCTCCGAAGCAACTTCACAAAGAACACTGCCATCAGTGCTGGAGTGTTTAGCATCAAGGAGCGTAGCTTGGTTAAGTGAACTGAATGAAGGATCTTCGAGAATTTTGCAATATCAAACGCTGTTCTATATGTCAAAAGCCATTCTCACTTTGAATTTTTTGACACGCTAATATATAACAACTATGCAAGAAGCACCCCTGTGGGAAGCATTCTTGATAGCATCAAAACCTCTGTCATTACTGGTGGAAGCATTCATAATAATATAAAAATAACAAAAGAAGAATATACATCTCAGATTGAAGTCGGTTGAACTACTCTCTGTTTTCCAGATTTCATTAAAAACAAAATAAAAGAATCATTTGAAACTGTAGAAGACTTTGACAAAATAGTGTTGTTTGATGTTATTTTTGGAAGCATGACATTTCAGAGCATGCAAAATATTTATAATCAAGACCAACTTGTCAGTGGGTTCAATTCTGAAATATCGATAGAAAACTCAACGATCAGCCATTTCACAACAAATCATCCAATAATCACAGTGTCTTCATCTATTCTAAATGTCTCAGCGACTATTTTTGAGAGAATCAACATGACTTCATGGAATACACCAGTAATATTGTCAAACACAGAATCTGTGACCACACTCAGCAATGTTACTTATTTGAACTCATTAGGGAAGTTCATTGAGGAAGCAAATACAGTCTGAAACATGGATGGAATACTTTTTTCTGATATTGAAACACAGACAGAACTTATTTTCATGTACTCGACTTTTGATTGCTCTATAAAAAGCATCTCATTAAGCAATATCTCTGGCAATTATACTAGTTTCATTGAGATTATAAAGTCCAAAGTTGGCCTTCTTGAGGATATTGAAATCAGAGATATGCCAGGAGAAGGCTTCAGAATTACAAAATCTAATATCACTCAGATCAATCAGATAAAGCTCAGTAATATTACTAAAGGGTTGCAAGCAATCAATTCTGAAATTGGAGAAATCAGAAACTCGGAGTTTAACAATCTCGGAGGAGTAGGAATTATATCAGGAGGAGCAATTTATCTGAGAAACTCAAAATTTTTTGGAGGAAATTTGACATTTACCTCAAATACTGCCTCAAGAGGAGGAGCTGTTTATGTTGAATGCCTCACAGCTTTAAAGCAAGAGTGAGAGGTATCCTTTGGTAAATCTAATTTTACTCAAAACTCAGCCACAGAAGGAGGAGCCATATACTACAATTCATTCCGTCCTTCATTCTTGAATGCCTATTTTAATAATTCTGCTGCTTATGGACCGAATATTGGATCTTACCCAATCAAAATATCTCAGAGTGGTTCTAGTATGGAGAATATAAAATTTGATTCTGTTGGAAGTGGAATAAAGCTTTCTTCAGAAGTCGAACTGAAACTAGTAGATTATGATGGACAGGAGATCACAACTGACTCAACCTCTCAGATTAAAATATTTCCGATTACTTCAAATGCATCTCTGATTGGAATTGATTACGCTCAAGTTAGAAATGGGATTGGAGCATTCGATAACTTGGTGCTACAAGCAGCCCCAGGAAGACCAGGAGTTGAGTATAGAGCGTTTTCGAAATCAATAGACGAAAGTCTTGTAACAAAGGTGTATGGAAGTGTTGATCAGAATCTAATAACTGTAAACTTCAGATGGTGCCAGCCTGGAGAAATGCATTCAGGTATTGAAACTTGAATAGAATGACCCCAAGGAACTTATTCACTAGAATGGAATTCTACCCAATGCACTTCTTGAATGAAAAATGCTGTTTGACAAGGAGGAAATAAAATTGCAGTAAATCCTGATTATTGGAGATCTAGTCTTAATTCTACTGACCTTGCAAAATGACCTCTCAGAAATATCTGATTAGGAGGATTTAATGAAACTAATGAATATCCTATAGAATGTTCAGAAGGATATTCAGGTTATCTCTGAACTTCTTGAACCAGCCATGAAGGAAATGACTTCATGAGAGTTGGACTGTATGAATGAGAAAAATGCCCAGATATAATTTATAACTCTATTAGAATAGCTTGTTTAATGATTCTAGTGATCATTTTCATTGTGATATTAATCATCATTAACATCAGGAAGAGGAATGAGAGCCAGAAATCCATCACATTGAGAATTCTTACCAATTATCTTCAATTAATGGGAATTGCTGTTTCATATGGTGTTGATTTCCCCAATGCTTTAAAAGATCCATTCTCATTTATGGAGAGAGCAGGTTCAACCTCAGAACCATTCATATCTTTTGATTGATTCTTTAATGATGCACAAATGGCATCTTTTACTCCGTCAACACCAATATTCAAGCTGTTTCTTTCTAACTTGTTGCCTCTGTTTTTCATTATTATTTCGGTTTGAATTTGGAGTTTGCTTAGACTTACTGGGCACAGATGGTTCAAAGATATCAAGAGGAACATAGGCATTACTATTACCTGCATTTTGTTCTTACTCCATCCAACATTAACAAAGCAGTCTCTCAGCCTGTTCCAATGCACGGATGTTGGTAACGGGGAAAACAGAATGACAATCGACATGAATATCCAGTGCTACTCGGCTGAACACCTCAAGTGGGCTTTGCCTATCGGAGGCTCAATGATGATTGTTTGGGTGATTGGCTGTCCAATGGCTGCATTGATCCTCTTAATTAAATTCAGAAAGAACCTTGACCATGCCACTGTAAAAAGATATTTCCTCATTTTGTATCAAGGACTGAGGCCAGAAGTTTTTTACTGGGAATTTGTGAATACTCTAAGGAAAATATTGATTCCTTTAACAAACATTCTTCTATCAAGAGTAGACACATTTTATAGGATAACGTCAGCAGTCATTATTCTTGTTGTTGTATTCAGAGTTCAGGAGTCCTTGAAGCCCTATAAATTTGAAGAAAATAACAAAGTAGAAATTCTAGCAGTTCTCGGAGGTATGATTACCATTTTTGGAGCCGTTATTTCCCTTGACAACACTAACAACCAAGAAATTGTAGATCTCCCATTTCTTAGAGTGATTTCAGGTTCATTAATTATAATAGTAAATGTATATTTCTTAATGAGATGGATTTTGCTATTTTTATATTCATTCGAAACTCCAAATGAAATTGTTTGAACAATAAGGAAAGCTCTAGCTTATCTTTTATGAAAAGGAAAAACCAAAGCCTTTGCAATGGTAAACTCTAAGTCATCAACTGCCAAAAACTGTCAGAAATCCTCAAAAGAGAAAGTGTTGGTAAAGAAAAAGTAATTAATGGATTATCTTTTTAGAAAAAAAAGACAGAGAAGAAACCCAAAGAAGAAACAAAGATTTAGAAGATCTAAGATTGAAAGTAATAAACAGATTCAAGGTATTGATGATAATGATGAAGGGAAAGGTATACTGAGTTTAATCCTGTAGAACGACCAGTTTATAAAGAAATTCTTGTTCCATTTTCAGAGAGAGGATCTACTTATAGAGGAGTGAGGTTAAAAGGAAAAATGGACCACTTCTTCGATAAATGCAAACACCAGGTGCCATTAGTAACCCCAATCCATAAAACCTTACATAAAATCTCAGAAAAGAATCAATTCGATCACAAATTCCTCCTCACCCATAAAAGTACTCCTCCATAACACTCTAGAACCCCCATCCCCTGTGTCCTCCTTCTCTTCATCTTCACCCTCCCAACTCCCACAAAACCCTTCTATGCAAGCACCTCCCCCCAATCCTCCCAGCCCACCATCCCCTCTCACCTCTCAAAGACAAATCCAACCCCCAAGTCTATCTAAGCCCATTAAAACTACCTCTCAAGGCTACATCCGCGCTGGTACAGACGAAATAAAAAATTAGAACTAAGTAATAAAAGTGAAAAGTTTTAGATTCAACTTTTTAGGTGGTCTGGGGTTTTGGGGTTTTGGGGTTTTGGGG